CTCGCTTATAGGCATTTAGAGGGAGGAAAAGGCGACTGACTTGAAGTTGGATGAATCACCGAACAAAAATCGGCCATCATCCTACAAGTTGAATTAGAGCAATCGTATTCTTCAAATAATTCCACATATAAATTTCATGTAAGTCCATCTAGTACTCCTACTACCTCGAGCATTGCAGTGATTTATGCTAGCGATGGAGGCCATTTGTGTGTGGGGGGGTGGAGATTTATCGAGGTTAAGTGCAGCTTAATTAATTGAAATGGGTGTTGTGGTGCACAAGGTGGTGGGTTTTATACTCTCTAACTATGGTGTCATGGAACAGTGTGTCACGGTCACCGTACCAAATGGACTACGGAAACCATATCATCCACTTTACCTACTCCACTTCCATATTATATATCTTCACAAGAATTAATGGTTATTAAGATTAATTTGTTTATTAAAGCTTTCTCTGGTGGTGTGGACTGATAATACATTGGTTTCGTCGTTGGCTTTTGCGTTGACTCCACGTTGATTTGGATCCTATGCGTGCCGCAACTCTACCGCCGAATTAAGACAGGAATCGCCAGCGCGGCACACATCAAGAACCGCGTTGTGTGTGGATCACTACGCAACTCGTGACGCTAAAACGGCCCCCACGCGTTGAAAGAGCCGCTCGCTGTTGTACGAAGAACAGCTAAATTCGTATACATATATATAAATAATGGATTTAAAAGTCCTCCATTTTCCACTATAAATACGTACCCACCCACAGCGGCGGAGGCCACCTCGGCTCTCCTCGTTCGCCATCCTCCCACGGCAACAGAGAATGATCCGGCGGCTGTCGAGGGTGGTCGACTGCGCCCAGTACGAGTCGCTGCGTTGGTCCGGCAAGGGGAGGCGGCACGGGGAGCCGGCGCAGGGGCACTTCCCAGTGTACGTGGGGGAGGAGATGGAGCGGTTCGAGGTCCGAACAGAGCTCCTCGGCCGCCCGGCCTTCGTCCGGTTGCTGCGCCTCTCCGCCGACGAGTACGGCTACGAGCAGCGCGGCGTCCTACGCATCCCCTGCCCCGTCCCGCTCTTCCGCCGCCTCCTCGCCGCCGCTTCCTCCACGGAGGAGGAGGAGGAGAAGAAGGAGAAGGAGAAGGAACTCCTGCGATCCTTCCCCGAGTTGCTCCTCGGTTCCTCCGACCGGAGTTGACCAGGCGTTTCGAATCGCTCGTCCTCTCGCGCCCCACGGTTTCTCGATTCCCGGTTTTGCCCTTGCAATCCTACCGCAGATGAACCGCCCGGTGCGCTCAAAGGAGAAGGGTAGTTGTGGAATTTTGTGTTTCTAATCATCGAGTGTATGCACTATATCTATTGTAAATACGAGTGTATTATGCTTAATATGAACAATTATAGTCTTTGTCTTTTTTTTTTGCCCTTAAATGAGAATAATTGCTTATATAAGAATTTACCCCGTTAAAAAAGTATTTCCCAAACGTCATTTATTGCTTGAAAAAAAATTGGGCCGACAAAATAAATTAAGATCTTCCTTATTGCTTATATATATATATATAATGCAAGACCAAAAAGATGATTAGCGTTAAAAGCACAAATCGTACGAAAAGGAAGTTTGGATTCTCTCATGATATATGACGATGAAATGTCAACGCAGTAGGTATCACAAATAATCGCCTTAATCTGTCTTAATAGAATAATTTGTCCTAAATAAAAAAGAACTCTTTAATCATGTTTTGACTACTAGAAAATTTGAGCTCAGCTGATCCATTCTTCCTGATCTTAAATTCTTTTATGTGCGACTTAGAGCACCACCGGACATCTTCTGCGCTGCACAAAAGCAGAAGCTCCCATGTCTGATTGAATCTTACGCTTGGGCTTTTAGTTCTGGAGTATCTTTCACTCCAGTTGGGTCTGACGGGAACATTTGATCTTTTTGTTCCATCTATACTCTCTATAACAACGTCTCATCCATCAGAATTTGACGATGCAATCAGCAGCTGTGATGGATTTTGTCATGGCCATCTCCCTCCCTCTGCTTCTCTTTTCGATGCTGCTGGGCTTCAGCTGCTACTACCTGGGGAGGCTGAAGGGGCGGCAGGACGCGCGCGCCCGCGTCGGCTTGCAGCAGAGTTAGGAAGGCCCATATTGTTCTCGGCAGCCTTCTCTGCGTGTGGATTCATGTTTGTGTTTTGATTCGGTGTAACTTTTGATCCATAAAATTGAAAAGATTTGTGATGATTTCTGATCCAAACACCACAAGAGACTCTGATCTCGGTAAAAGTTTCTTCCTTTCTAGTCCAAGATCTCATTTACAGAAGATGATCGCAGTTCCAATCACAAGAACTCACCTCTTGAGCCCCGGTACTCACAGAACACGAGCTTCTGGTTACAGACCACCTTCTCCTCCTCCACCGCCAGCGGTCTGGTGGCGCTGACACGTTCCTGTTACCCACTTTACAGTTATATAATGGGGGAACTAAGAGCCGTGAGTGATGGATTCTGCTGCTTGTTTGCAGATTTGTGGAACTTGTAGCAAATCTCACATATCGGTATTTTCTTCTGTCGTGATACAATTTAATATACATCAAATGTTGTTCTTCTGGTCGGCTTAATGCATAGCTCACTCGCATCTTATCTTTTATTGCTGTGGTGCTGAGCCTCTGCTTGCTTATCAGTGATGCTAACTACAGAATGAACAGTGTAGTGATAGCAGAATAATTATAGACATTATGTTAGGGAGTAAATGACACCAACAGTACAGTTCTACACACAAGCACTTCAATTCTTGTTATAAGACGATGTCTGCATCACATGCAGCCTCTGTATCCAAAAGAAAAAGAGCTGCAATATTGCCATCTAGATATCAAAAGCTATCTTTATAAGACACGAGAACAGCACTGGCTGATGGTGCTAAAATGACCAAATTGGTGGTTCTGATCCCAGGTTAGTCTGGTCCAGCACCACCATGTCCAGGGCGAAGACAGGCTTGGCATTGACGGTGTCAGGCTCCATCAGCTGGTTGTGAGTGGGGGACATGGAGGAAGAGCCCGTGCTGGTGCTCCCTGCGCCCATGGGGCTGTGGCCAAGGCCAGCGTGGGCGAGGGAGGCGGCGTGGCTCATCCGCAAGTGCACCATTTGTGCTTGTGCCATGGCCAGCTGCGCCTGGAGTGCCTGGATTTGGCGATGGAGGGTGGAGATGGCTGCGACGCACCCGTACACTGGGTCGCGCACCCGGGCGTTGGCCTCGTACACCAGGCTGCTCACTGCGTCTCCTCGGTGCTGCACTGCTATCTCCTTTGATCACACAGACAATTTGAGTCGCATGGTGAGTTATGAAGCCATTCTTTTCATGTAATGTAATGTAATGTCTTTTGGTGATCGCAATCTTACAAGCACATTTTACACACACACACAGACCGACACCCACACCCACACCCACAGAGAGAGAGAGAGAGAGAGAGAGAGAGAGACCTGACAAGAGCTTGCTGACGTTG